GACTTGGGGCAGGGATCGGGGTTGATCACACCAACTTCCTTTTTGAAACAGGAAAGATGAAAACATCCCCCCCCCTTTTTTTTCCTGAGTCCCCTCCTGACGGCCTGGGAAGAGGACGAGCATTATGCATTGTTATCTGCGTGGTGTAATTTGACTGTTGACAAAGTATCGGTGGCAGTGAGAATGAACGCAGTTAGGAGTGTGGCGGGTTGTAATCAAGAAGATGCTTAGCTGTGCAACACTGCATCTTGAGCAGATTTGAATCAACATTGCCTTAAGGGGATACACACACCAAAAGGGGGGGGGGAAGTCCATTCATTTTTAGAGGAAAAACTGGAGTGGCACTTGAAGTGGAATCTGATGTGTGTTAATTGCTCTGCGGCTCCCCTAATTAGAGACTCTCGAATCCCTCCGCTGCTGTCACGGGGAGGGTACACTGTCTTGCTGGACGAATTCGAAAACTGCAAATTGGTTTGATCAGGAAGTTTTATATCTAAAAGACTGAGCCACCCTTCCCCGTCCCCTCCAAAGGGTGGTCAGTTTGAAAGGGAAGGCAGCCACTCCTCCTCCAGCCTGGATTTAAAATCTCAAGCCTTATTAAAAGAGTTTCATTATGACACTCAGTAGAAAGGAAGCAGGTGCTGCTGGTGTTTCCTTAAAGAAATGACCATTTCCCTTCCTATTCCAGCTGGTATGAAATATTTCAGGTGGGGAGAAAAAAAAAGGCAGCAACATGCTATGCTGTCTCTACATTCTCATACTTCGACTTCTATCCTGAAGAGGCTAGGGAGAGACAGATTTGTTTCTCAGAGACGGTGGGTGTCACAGAACTCATCTTCCCAGGCTTAAATCTAAGCTAGCATCCCAGGCTCCCCTTCCAGTCTTAAAGTCATTAGACCGCTGCTTGGCCCCAGGTAGCCACCAAATATGACACCATAATAATTTGGGCTTCCCTTTTCAACATCTCTCAGGTCGCCCTTGAACCTCTCTTAATTCATTAACATATTGAATTTTTTTTTCAATTTTCCATTTTCTTGCAATAACAATATTAATGCCGGGGTGGAAGCTTGATTGGAGCTAAATTACTTGTTACCTGCTGGCATTTATTTATATGGCATTGAATTATAGAGCTTTGCTATTGTCATGCCTGGGACGAATTGTTTATGACGCCAGTAATAGGAGTAATTGTTATTGTTGAAATTACCTGTCAGCTCCCCATAGCAGTGGCCCTTGTCCCACTGACAAATAGTGACAAGGGAGAGGCATCCTCCGTGCGTCCCCCTGATGGCTTCTCCTCTGATAATAAGAAGTGCAGGGCCTCTGATAATTTGCCTGTCACTGTTGAGTGCAGCTCAGAAAGAGTTGGCCAAATTGTTGTCATTCACTGTGACAAAGACAGCAAAGTGGCCCTGGGCAGGCGCAGGATTATCAAAATAAATGAAATCACTCACACACACCCTTTGTTTGGCTCCAGGATTGCCCGGCTTTGTATGAGGTGCGGAAATCAAGGCCCCGTGCCTAAGGATAGACCTCTGCTCATCCCGGAAGGTGGACCCCAGAGAAGGACAGCCGTTGGCATTAGAAGACCTGCTTGCCATTTTATAGTTTGCAATGGCTAGTAAGAAATTAAATTCAAATATAAAGTCAAAATTCTAACAAGAATCTTAAATATGTGGCTGAATTCATTTGCTTGAAATATGTGAAATATGTAAAAAGTTCACATGTCATCTTGAATGACTTATACCCCTCACCCAGTGATCATCTGTGCATCCTTCAAACCCAGGAAGCTTTAAAAAAAAAAAAAAAGTAACAATTCTCCAGTTGCGGTCAAGTTTTCTTTAAAAGTTTAGAATTCTGCACCCTTGACTCTTGCTGCCTTGAAATATTATAGTCAAATACTCAAATTTAGGATTATTATCTCCAATGGCCAGTTCCTTTCTATAAATTACCTCGTATTTATATACTATCTTCATGTGTAAAGAGATAAATGAAACATAGTCCCAGATATGAAGCATCAATTATCACAGGCTTACAGGGGAAGCAAAACAGCCCTGTTATTGCCTGAGCTCAAATATAAATATTTGCCTTTTAAACCCTCTTGGTTGCAACGGGTGAGCCTGTCATGCAGGGAGAAAGGGGGTTGGAGGAGAGTGGGGAGGGCTGAGGTCTGGGAGTGTCCACGGCTGAAATAAATGCACTGTGAGCTTTGTTCTTGCAAAACCCAGACTCATTCTCACCTTTCCCAAAAAGGCATTGTTTCAGGCTAGCAAAATTTCTATTTTTAAGGTGCCTGGGAGGCTATTTTTCACTGATCCCTTCGACAAATACTTGCTGCCAAAAGAAGTCCAGAGAAAAAGGGGGAAAGGGAAGTGGGATGGATGTAGACTATTGGCTTCTGATAGGATAGTAATCAGTTGTTTATTGGTCTCTACCAGACTAGTAATGACCAACCGCAGTGTTAAGTGCCAGCCACACCGCCTTGGGCCCTTCTCTCCTAACATCAGCCATTATCTGATTAGAGGACCTTGGAGGAAGTGGCGGTTGCATAACTTTATGGGTCTTAACCGCGCAGGCTGGCTGGCAGAAAAACTACCTAGGAGGGTTGATAAAGCAATGGTGATTTTATTTACTCCACTTACACCTTGCTCTCAGCACTGGCAGCTGCAGAAGAAATCTCAAATTGATCTGAATAGGAACCGTGCGGGGCATGGGGAGACGGAAAGAAAGTGATCTGTTCCTTAAAGCTTTATTGGGGTTGCACAGCTTGAGGTAATGACACTTGGAGGCAGCCGGACATTTTCTTAGGTGGTCTGTACCGAAAGCAAGCAGCGAGGTTTTGAGTGGCGCTAATCATATATGTAATGCTACAATGACAGGAATAAAATGTGTTTCTGATCTTTAATAATAATGTCGTCTTCTAAAGGCAATGACTCTGTGGTTAACTGTGTTGGATGTCTCTGATTAACAAGTGGAAGGAATGACATAATTAAGAGGTTATCTGTGATAATAAAAATGCCCAAACCTGTCTTGGAATGTGATCCTTCCAAGAGATAATTTTTTAAAGAATAGCACATGCCCTTGCTTTCTGTCGAGACAGAACGTTAGGGATCCCAGGAGGGAAAATAAACATACGTTTTTAAATGAAGATATTTAAAATGTACCCCATATTTCAGTATGTTGCTATAACCTGGTCTCTTTTATGCTCCTCCTATAAAACCTAAATTAAGCCTCTTAGGAGTGATTTTGCTGCAGGTTCCCTTGAAAAACACAATACATTTTAAATGCTTGAAGCCGAGTGCACGGTAACATATAACCACTGGCGTGCAATCTCCTCGCCTCCCCTGTCACGCAGCAGCTTTCTTAGGAGGAATTCCTTAAAATTTAGCTGCATTGAAAATGTAAACTTTGAGCAAATACCAATTGCTCCTGGAGCGGCGTTGCTGAAATGACGGCTGCGGAGCCTTCCCCCACCTCTTTCCTTCCCAACACCCGTCGGTGTCAAAGGCTACTGCACATGTCCCTTTCGCTCCTCTAAATAAAGCTGGAAAAAAATGTCAGAAAACACTCAGAGGATTACAGCATCGTTTCTGCTCCACACGGAGGAGGATGGCAGGGCAGACTGGACAGCGTGATTCCGAAAGCTACGCTTTTTGTAGAGGGCTTACTCTGGACACTGGAGGAAGTCTTATTCAGAAAGATCTGATGTTGCCTTTGGTGAAATGCAACCTTCAGTTGTTTTATTGTTGTTGTTGTTTTAATCTGGTTATATTTTCTTTCTCTTCCCTGTGTCTCTTTTGAAATTAAAGCAATAATGCATTCTTCTAGTCCGGGGTGTTTCTTCACTCGCGTGGAGTGTGGAAATGCATTTCAGACACTCTCAGGTCATTTTTTGCTTCTTTCTAAAATCCTTGGGCTATTCATTCCTGGAGAAAGCAGAGAAAATGCTGGACTCCTACACAGTGAAATTCACCAAATTGATCCGCCTTTCCTCCCCTTAAATAAAATGTATGTATAACCCTGGGGCTTTCCAGACAGTTCATTTATATTTTTAAAAGACATTTACATTCATTATGTGTATTAAAAATAAATAACCCAGTAAGGCTTACATTGCTTTGTTCTATTTTTCTGAAGAATATTTAACAATTACAAAACAGAAAAATAGCAGGCAGACACTTGTCACATCCTTAACTATTTGTTTAAAACGTAATGGCTAAAAGAGAAAATATTTTACAAATTCAGTTCTAGATCTCACCCTAGAAATGGTAAGATTCATTCTCCAGAAACAAGGTATAACTCAGCTGATCTTAAATATAAACTTTTCCAAAACAGGTTATGAATGAATTTAGACAAATTCGACTCTTAACCTTTAAAGATTTCCTGCCCATTTCTGTATGTCTTTTATTACATTAATTTTTTATTTAAATTACACCATTAACTGGATATGAATTTATCAAGAATACATGTATTGATTTATAAAACAGTACCATTAATTATTATAATAGCTAGATGTAGCTGATATTACAAAGCCATTTAAAGGTTTTTAATATAACTCGGACATACATAGATAGATAGACGTTGTGGACAAGACCACAATTTAAACTGGCTACCAGCAGTTAATGAAAGCTTAGATTTATATTCTAGTTTAGAGATTGATCATATTGTTGCTTTGTAAAACTATTTACATTGTGCCATTTTTCAAAGGATGTCTCAATAAAAAAAAAAGCAAAATAAAATATTCAGTCAATTCCCAAAGCAGATTTTGTTTTCTATATTTTAAATGCTTAGTTAAAATAATTGATTGTGTGTGTTCCAAGCTTTGTCATTTCCATTCCAAGGTGGCTTTCCTGGGGGGGGGGGTAGGGGGAGCCTCATTTGCATATACCCACTGCCACATACTTTTGATCCTTGCTGAAGCAAGCCCCTTCTCTTTATTTCATCGCTCACCCCCAACACACCCATGTATATTTCACAAAACTCACACATCAGGACCCATAAGTCTTTCTGGCATCTTTTATGTTATATGCTTTGTGTTCTCCATAAGGTTGTGGAAAACTGGGACTTACCCCCCCCAAAGCCACAAGGCAGGCAATCACGGAGATAATTTGGGTAAGAAAGCAATCTGAAGAGGAAAAAGAAAAAAAAAAGAAAAATGAGGAAGAGTATAAGCAAGTAACAACACTTTCAAATTACTTTTCAAATGGTAATTAGCCAGGGAATAGACTGAAATCTGAATTCTTTCACATTGTACTTGGCTTGGGTCTCCCAGGCTCTCGATTTGTATCACTTTGCCCTGCCTGGCAACATATGTTACCGATTTATTATAGCATTTTTACTGTTAACAGACAAATCTAAAGGCTAGCTGAGAAGGCTAGCTTCATCTGATGACTCTAACAACTGCAGGGCATCCTTGAGGGGGAGCCAATAGGCTCTTTTGAAGCAGAAATGCCATTAACCCTCTGGATGCCAAAATAGCTAGCCTAAATTGGCAAAGTCTTTCCTTGGGCCCTACAGCTTTACAGAGGCGAAGGGTAAATGCAAATGATTTATTTTAGAAATATCTCAGAGGCCTCCTCAACACCTTCTTCCACGGCTCAAGTACCCCACAGGCTGTGTGAATCAGTGGTCCTTTTCCATTCCCTTTCCTTGACAGCACTCAGAAGCCTGTGCACACTGGGGATAAGCACCTAGCCACCGAGGGTCAAGTGGTCGCCCACCCTGCCCCACACCATTAATTCTCTTTGATTTTCTTAAACACCCTTTAGAATTTAAATTTTAAAATTTATGCATATTTTGGTAAGTATACATCTTAGAAAAGTAGAATTTTTAATGGAAATTGCTCTTAGCCAAGAACCTGAAATTTGTTCCAGATTAGGAGAAGGGAGACGCTAAAGGCATTTGCATGGGTAAGTCACACTGAGTAAAGGTTCGTGCCTTGACCTGTGTCCGCACGGAAATGTGTGCATTAGCATTGAATGGGTAGACTGAAAAAGCCACTTTAAAAAGAACATTTACAAACAATGCTTCGATTTCTGGTCATGTCTAGTTTACCCCAGCCCAAACTGCCGAGATGTTTTTTTAAATGTTATAAGCAGTACCTTCCTCTAGCTCAGTGCCAGGGTGAAACTGCCCGCCCACAACTTCAGGTGTGTTTCCTAGAATACCCTCTGGATGCCCTTGTCTTGGACATTTAGAAATAATCTCAAATGTTGGAAGCCAGGATTTCCTGTCGAAGGGTATCAGATGAGGAACTAAAATTTACCATGTGGAGATTAGAATGAAATAAAATAAAGCAAGTGTTCAGAACAGTGACCGGTCACGAAGGTGACTCCTGAGGAGCAGGGACACTGTGACAACTGCTTTCTCTAAACCCAGCTACCACAGATCATCCCACCTGTGGATGGTGGCAAGACCCTGGTTCTAGACTTAAGCAGAGACCACACAGTTTTACCTGCTCTTAGGACAACCAAATGCAGAATTTGAATTCCTATCAGATGGTCAAACACCATTTATCTGACTCTTATTTTTACGAAAAGTTCTCAGATCTTCATTATTTATACTTCATTACATCGTCACAATCTTTTCTTAGTAGTAACTATATATAGTGTTAACTATAACATTCAAGAGAATAATGACAACGCATAAACTTTAGATGTATAAGTATACCACTTCATCCTAGTCTAATTCTGGTTAATATTTATTATTTATACCTTTATTAGACACTTGCTGTATACATTTCCTATTTTGTGCCCAAGAGGCATCGTACAGGGACCTGACTAATTACCGTGGGTAATTTCAGATCTAACTAATTAGGATCAAAAGGATTTCAGCATCAGAGAAGAGGGGCAGTTTTGGGAAGCTATAAACACCCTGCAGTTCCAAAGAGTATCACATGTAGACTTGGGAACAAGACGTTTTGCTGGTCCCGCTATGCCATAAATAAAATGTCCTAAATGGGGTGATTAGGGGACCAAAATGTTTCAATATTCATCTTCTTAGGCAAAGTGAATGGGAACAACCAGCTCCCTCTTCAAAACACGATTTTTTTTTTCTTAGTCAAAAGAGAACCTCCATCAGAGTTTGGCCTGCATGTGGAGCAAGTCTGATAACGTTGTCAGCGGTCTTCAAAGCTTTCTAGGGCCGCCGCTAGGCTCTGCGGTCCTCTGGCTGGCACCGGCCAATGCTCACCATGTTCGCCTTCTCTTCCCCCACAACCGAAAACAGGTGTCTTTTAAAGCCTGCGCCTGAGGTTGCTCGGTCATTACCAATCCCTCGCATCCACAACTACTTGGACCTTCTAGCAGCTGCGACAGCCTCAGCTGGTAGCCCCTCGCCCGCTGTTGCTCCCTCACCTCTATCCCGACCCTACCGCCAAACTCCAGCTCTCTGTTTCGTCCATAGCTTTAGCCACATCCTCTCCCATTCCTGACCTACGCTTTTTCTAGATCAGACATAGGCAGGTTGAAAGGCAATGAGAACCAGATGGACACGGCGCAGAAATTGCCCAAATGGGTATGAGACTGTGGAGAGCTGTCAGGCATGGAGAGAAGCTGGAATTTTTCAGCAATAAAATGGGATTTATCGTTACTCTACCACAGCCATTGCCGACAACCGTTTCCCTGGACAGAAACCCCATTACAACAGGCCACGCCCATGCAGATTCTTTTTGCCCGAAGAGTGATGATTGGAATTTGTTCTGAGGCTCAGATGGACTGTACTGAAGGTGAAGCGTTAGGCCAAAGTCCTGCATTCCCCACTGAGGCAAATGAACCCGCTAAATAACTTCCTTCCACAAAGGCTGTGTAATTGAAACCAGAGAGTGAGAGAATTTGATGAATTGCTTGACCCAAAAGAATGTTAAGGTCATAAATTTTCATTGCATGTTTTCCTCTCTTTTTAAAATTTTTATATATTGATTATATTTAGTATTTGCCTCAAAATTCAACACGCTTACAGATCATCGGTTGCGGCCCCAGGGAAAAGCACAGTAAATCAGCAATTAGAAGGGCCAGGGGCATTCTCTGCTGTCTTCCAGAGAGGGGTGTCAGCTCCTTGGCCCTACAAAGACTGGCAATGGAGGTATCTTATATTTCTGAATTACTCCAACTTAGCACACGATTTGTTCGGGCACCGACAAAGTAAAATCTATGCGAGAGGTTTTCCTCAGAAGGGCGCCGCTCTGCTTCCATCCTTCAGGAATGGTGAACTGTTAAAAGACTGGCAATTTGTTTGCAGCAATCACACCCACACACCTGAAAGAGAGAAGTATGACGTTTAGCTACAGAGAGTGATCCTGGGCTTTAAGGTGGATGAAAATCTGTCTGCGTGCACAGAGATAAACGAGCATACTCCTTGTTTACATACTTGCTGCTAGCGAGCCTGCTCTGAAACTTATTTTGAATTATGAATTGTCTTAATATGAAAATAAGAAAGTCTTAAGAATGGTCAAAGCAATACATCACGTATTATAAAAAGACTAATATAGTATGGTTATCACGAAGTAGAAAGTTTCTGTACTTCTTGCTGTAATACTTTAATTGCTTCATTCTGAAAAATTGGTGCGGGTTTTAATTCATCCACATGTACTGTACCTGTGAGACAGCAGACCTTGATGACAGAACACAGCTCGGGCAGGTTCTTATAGCCAAAATTTCTTGTCCTTGAGAAGGACCACCTGATCTCTTGTGTACGCGCCTGCTTGATTTGTTAAATGACAAGAAAACAATACTGACCGGCCATTGAGATGATTTCTCTGATTTAAAATTCTTCCTTTCGTTTGCTTTCGGTTACTAAGTGGAACGGAAGAGTCTGAAGTGCAGTGTGGAAGTTGCCTCAGCATGTGCGAGTTTCGCTCTTCCACAGCTAAGCCACACACACTAAAACAGGTCGTTTACACTGAGTTCTGTCACGTTCACGTTCTTTCCGTAGGGGTGAGGGCAAATACTTTCTGTGTTGTTCATCACAATTAACGACCGACGCTTGACAAGAGTATTTCTGTGTCAAAAAAAAAAAAAGTTAAGAATGTAGGAAATAGTCCAGAAAAGAAAGAAATCTCAAATACGTTTTCCGAAACGTGAAATTGGAGGGTTTTTTTTTTTTTTTTTTTTTTTTGCGATACAAAGAAATAACTAGTATCTAGTTGTTTAAAGATCCTGGAATCTGGCACCATTAGGCATGATGATAGTTTTCATATGCTATTGCTTATATGTGTATACATAGTCTCATATGAATTCACCAGCACATCGTCCCTTAAAGACAGGAGGGTTCATGAGATATAAACATGTATATGGTCTGTCTTATTGACTGGATATTTTTCAATCTGAAAACGTGAATTTCTTTCTCTGCACTTAATTTTTTGTTGTTGCTGCAAAGCTTGTCTCCAAACAAGCAAAATAAATAGCTCTGAGCATATATGCATATGTATACACACATATATAAGTTTAACTAAAATATGAATGGAACGTGGATTCAATCACTAATATTTTTGCAAACTACTGTTCAGCTGATGCAACTCAATTCTGCTCGGCATCACATTAGTGTCATAATGGTAATGACTCGCCTTTATTCACTAACAGTTTGAGTCAGCACTTTCAGACAATTTCAAATTAGGTCATACTGCACATTTGTGGCTGATACAAAGGTTGATTAAGAGAGCCATACGATTGTAAAGCGATGTGGTATGAGCGGAATTAAGTTCTCTCGGATAGTTACGGGAAATGAGAGCGACTATAACTTAGCAGAAATAATGTGTGGACTCCCGGGGAATATATTTCCATAGAGGGCCTGAAATATTTCTCACTCACGATTTAACGAAGCCCTCTGTCTCTTACGGAAGAACTCTCTCTCACAGGGCTTGGAACAAGAAAAGAATTGCAGAAAGGCTGGGGGCCTGATCCCCAGCTCGATGTCTGGAAAGTCAGCTTTTGCCTTTGTGTTCCTTTTGATCATCTTAATAAACATCTTTCTTCCCCTTCTAGATGCTGTCTATGCTCTTCTAAAATCAAAGTGATCGGACCACTTGCCCCATAACTTAACAACTCTGAGGCAACCCTTAGTTGCTATGCGTACTAGACCTGGAGAGGAAAACCAAGCCTCTATTTAAAGCGATATTGTCATGGCAAATACACAAACTTGTCCTCAATTCAAAGAGCGAAGTTTTCTTTAATTTGTCCAGAACTTGAAGTAAATGGTAAAAATTACTCTTAAAGGCAAGAGTATTTTTTAATTGAGTTTAAAGACAATAAAGAACAAAAGCACTGTGTTTGATCAGTAAAAACAAAAGTAGTGGTTCTCAAGGCTTAAGAAGTGGCTCAGAAGTCAGGGGCATGGTATACTCCTCTTGCAAAGGGACTGAGTTTGGCTCCCAGTGCCCACATTAGGCAAGGCACAACAGCCTGAAACTCCAGCTCCAGGAGACCCAACCCCTCTGACCCCCATGGGCGCCTGTACTCATGCACTTCGACCCACATACAGATACAGAGTTAGAAATGAAAGGAACATCCAACCTTTAAAAAGTAAATGGTTATTATTACAGTATTCAGGTCATACTGTGCTTTCTATAGAATAAGAAAGTCATAAGACACACACACAAGGCAAGGGACTTTGATAAGAGCCTGGTACTTAAATGAATGAGAAGTTCCAACTCTAAGTCCCCTGCGTTTTTCTCCTGCACATGCGCCGGCTTGCTTTCTTTGAGCGGGATTACTGACGCACACAATGTGACCAAGTCACATTTTGTCTCTAGCGTTTGGATAGATCAAATATCAGTTTCCCAGGCAGGCTTTTGTGCCCTGGTGCCTCGCTGTACTCAAACCTGCACGGGACCCCCGATGTCCCTGCCGCAGGTTTCCTCTCCCTTCACACCGCGTTTCCGCTTGTGTGGAATCTTTTCTCATACTCTGAGTTTGCAGTTTGACTCAGCTTGTTATCATCATGATTAGGTAAATAAGGGGAAGGGTTCTCCAAGAAGGCGATGCTTTTAAAAAATACATGCTTCAAAGTAAGAGCCTGATGCCAAAGCCTTCAACCCTTTGTGACTGTGTCGTGGTGCGTTTAGGATGTTATTTGAATTTGGCTAGCCCCACCCCCTTTATTGTCACTAAGCTTTATACATTGCTCTGCCAAGATCTGATCGTTGACTGCAAAACTGACAGATATGTCTTCAACGGAGTTTCCTATGAGCCAGATGAAAAGAAAATTTACCCCCGATTCATAGTCTGCTAATTAATACTAGAGGCCATGGTGGCACCGTGTCTCAAGCCTGAGCATTTTCTTCTTGAACAAACCCTTGGTATTTGCAATCACTTAATTTACATTTTCAAAAGGTCACTTGTGGTGCTAGTGGGGATCGATTGTATATTCTATTTATTTCGAAGTAGCCTAATTTGCCTCCTTCCAATGGGCACTGCACCTCTGCAGTCGTCAGCTGGCCTCAATACTGTGACGAATAGGTTAAAGCGTTTTGGGTATTTTGTTAAACAATTAGGAGAATACTTGAGTTTCTCCAACATTTGACTTACTAGTTGAGAACAGTATTCAGTGAGGTATGTTTATTATCAGTTGGCTTTTTATTTATTTTACAGGATGTAATCAGCAATATTCCAAGAGTGCAATATGACTTCTGAGGGTCCGGCACAAGGTGATTAAGTAAGGTTGATCCTCATTGTGTATGCTAATAGTAGATTTAGAATTTCTACAAGCATAGCTAATGTAACAATTTGATTCTCTGTTCAGAAAGCATTCCCTATTAGCGGAAGAGAACACCCCTACATCCAGCACGAACTGGTTTAATTGGGCTTAGGGCATTGTATGTAATTAGTCCACTTTCCTAATATTTCATCTATAATTACACGAGCAAAGATGCACTTAAATTCCACAAAATCAGTCAAGGAAAGACTTGAGAAAACACGAGCATTTTATTTCTACCATCTCCCACTCTCTACTAAGAGCCTGGTGAAAAAGAGCAGGTTCAGGCCAGTGCGAGCCTGCTGGGTTAGGGATGCCCAGAGGCCCTAGAGCTAGAACCAGAAATTGCTCTCTCCGTCTCATCTCGCCTGACAACAGTACTTGTGGCAGAATTGCTTGGGTTCAGCCCAGCGGTCACGGGAGATGCCAGAGAAAAGTCCTCAAGGGTAGAATGGTCATGCTTCCTGTGACTGTCCACCTTCAAGATTTTGGATGCCAAAGGGTTTTGGTCTGAGGTCTGAGGTGGCACCACCCTCCACTCTTCCTTTTCCTAACATCCACGGCTCCTCTAGATAAGACCGTTGCAATCAGCACGCGGCACAGCAGAGGGATCTGGAGAAAAAGGTGAGGAAGAAATGAAAGCCCAGACAGGAGCTGTGAGCATACTGAGAGTGTGGAGAACGGCCAGGAAGCCCCGAGAAGCCAGAGAGCACACAGCAGGTTCTGGAACCACAGAGGAATCTTATCATTGTGAGACCCAGCCCCTTGTAGGTTGGAGAGTATGAGTTTGATGTGCCAGCCCTCTTCCTTTTCCTTCTTCTTTTCTTGTTTCTCCTCTTCCTTTTCTTGTTCCTCCTCCTCTTCTCCCTCCTCCTTTTCTTCTTCCTCCCTCTCTTCCTCCTCCTCCTTCTTCCTCCAAGTCAGTGTCTCATCAGCAGAAACCTGCGTGGAAGGCAAATAGCACACCACCTTGGAGGATGAAGCATTCTGCAACACCGAAGAGCAAGGAGAGGACAATCGTGTGACTGGGGGCAAACAGACCAGGAACTGCCACAGACCCCTTCTCAGCCATCTTAATTAAGACTTGTGTGTAGACAGCATTTCAAACAAAGCCCTGTGTGAGTACAGGATGCAAAAAAAAAAATGTGTATTTAGTTTCTTTTCAAATTTCGAAGGCACTATACCAAGGATCAGCCACTAGGAAAATGGCAACCATGTTGAACGTAAACATTTGAATGAACTCAAATTATTTTAGCTGAATGAATTGAGAAAAAAATTCAAGTGCTTAAAAAAAAAAAGATTGCATCGTTGTCTACCTCAGCGTGGCCCTAGACAGCAGAGTAAGTAACAAATGGGAGATTCAATTTGACTTTGGGTTTCCCTCGCTTTGAATTCATGTTTTGTACTTTGCTAGGGGAAGCTTTTTAGTACAGTAACTGAACAGCAACAGACTGTCTACACTTCAGGCCAAGCATCACTGTATGGCTGACTTCTCAATAGCCAGGTAAAAGATATAAAGGTATTTCTTTAGTGTGTCCCATGTTCCCATCCTTTGTTCTTCCTCCCCACTAGCTAATAATAACATTTGAACTTGGGAGCAATGCCAGCTTATTCCTGACCTCTTGAGGCGAGCACACCGTCCAGGCTTACTTGCTCCTACTTGGTGTCCCTTTGTCATTTGCCGGGTAATATGCATGGTGTGGAGGAAGGAGCTCTCTGTTTGTTGCTGCAGAAAGGCGATTTTATGCATTGACACCTCCCTCCCCCACCCAGCCCAACACACACTCCTTCTCACCAGATCCACATCACTCGGAAAGGGAAAGGCCAAGAGGAAATTATTCCTGCTTTAGACAGCGGCATAAATTTTCTTCCTATTTTTAACCTAGCTTTTAATTTAATAAGTTTTATGACCCTTATATTAAGTACATATGTTTTACAAGACATTGTGTCCCTTGAGTCACCCTGAATTTGCTCTACTGTACCAGAATTAAATGAATGAATACTGAGCTTCTGATTTCACTCCACCCTGTGTTTGATCCTTACGATGGACCCGCCAGCCCTTCAAGACAGTAAAAGGTGCCACTCGGAAGTCAAGCAGAGGTCAGCACAGGCTGTCTGAAAGGAAGTTATCTCATAGCATTTTAAATTTCAACTTCCTCTCCTACAGGTTTCATAACAAATAATTAAGGACAGGCAAAATACTGGAAATGGTCACTGGTCTTGCCAACGGTCAGTGACGCATAAACCAAACCTTTATACTTTTGTTCGATAGCCAACACAAAGCTGTCTCTGCCCCCCATCAAAAAAAAATCAGTAAAGATTCAAAAAGACAGCACTATCTCTTTGGAAATGTAAAATGCCCTCAATTTTCTTATGAGACATTCTATCTTCATCTGTCTACAGTCAATTGAAAATTAGTGTGGTATTATTATTTGAATGTAAAGAACCTTTGCAGTTCCAACAAGATGTTTTAAATAACTCCAAGGCAATATTCAAGAAGAAAATGTTCAATTGTTGCAGGATGAAGCAAACCACCTACAAGATTCATGAAAAGGAGGAAGTTTTCCTGCTTTGTGTGGTAGGGCCTGGGATTAGGACTGGCAGAGCTGAGGTGCGGCTTGGCCTACAGTTGTATTTAAGGAGTGTAACAACCTAACTCTGGTGACACAACGTGCTCATTTTTTACATTACGAAAATGTAGCAGGTTTTTTACAAAATATAAGTGCTGTGGATTAGATTAATATTCAACTAGGAAAAAATAAGGGTTGTTTTAAATATGCCTTACAAATTAGCTAACTCAATTCTGTTTTTGAAAATGGCTTTCCTGCACACGCCAACATGTACTAACTCAATAAGTTACTGAAACAACACTTTCGGTAGGTGGATCAAGAGGGAGTCAAACTCGAGATGGAAAGCCTCGCACCCTCCCAGTTTCTGTGCCAGACCATAGAGCTCAGTGCACCTAATGTTTGCTGACATATGAAACACAACTCAAGAAGCCAGCAGTTTCTTTTCTATTCACACTGTTTACTTTCGTCCCACTCCAGTGACTTTGAACAGCATGGTCTCAAAGTCTAACTAGTTGCTTGTCGGACCTCCCTCAAAACTCCACATAGTCATTGATTTTAACTTCGCAGCCGTGTGTGGCTCCAACTTGATCTGTTGTCTGTGGTTTTATTGTTAGGGGAAAACTATCCATTATTTTCAAAAGACAGAAAAAAAAAGAAAGAAAGAAAAATCACAGCTTTTCTATATTTCCTTTCAGGATGGCATGACCCAAATATTAGACCTGTTTAAAACGTATTTAAA